TGAATTCAATAATCTTTACATTAGAAACATAATGTAAAATATACTTTAAATCACACTTGAAACAAATAAAATAAGTTTTCATTAAGTTGGTTGTAATTTTGATATTCATAAATTGAAAATGCTATAATCAATAAAACATTGGAAGATAATAGTTGTTGTAATAACAAGTAGAATAGCAAAGAATATAATAATTGAGACGAACCTACAACACATATATGAACAATAAAGAATATAAAAAACTTTAAATAATATATTTGTCATTATTAACAAGTTGGTTCAGATCTACAAGTTTATTTATCTAATAAATTTATGACCTAATCCAATTTATAAAATTTTAAAAATAATCGATTTAATTTAATTTAATTCATTATATTTTCAAATTTATCGAATTGGATCGGATTAAATTGAATGTTAGAATTTAATTGAATGTCAAGCACTAGCAATAAGTGACTTCAATATCACTTCATAGAATTGTATAACTACTCATCCCTATGACACATGAATAAGACTAATGTACTGTGTGAGAGGGTGAAGGCTATGTTAGGCAAAATGTCATCATCCAATCAATAAAAATGACAAAGAAGTTTCCCTTATCCATTGACACATGACACATCGAATGCTCAGGAGGCATGCACCTGATTTTTTATAAAAGCTATAAAATTTGATCCACTTGGCAATACATTTGGTTTAATATCTATTTAGGTATAGAAATATAGCTATATGGTAATCACTGGGTTGATTTTTCTTATATTAAACTTTTTTTTAGAGAATTTAATTATTTTAATTTGATTGGTTTCCTATTTTTAGGAAAAAATTGAGTAAAATCTCGAATTTTACAAATATGATTAATAGAAAGGACTTACTAATTTTCGATATATGGCTCTAAATATACATCAAATCAATAAAAATAAATTTTTTTAATTGTAATGAAAGTATTTATAGTCATTTACCGTTGTATTTGAACCATGTAACCTAGAGGAAGAGGTGAGAAAAAATAAAACGGTAATTATTTTTAAAAAATCTTTCATTTATTCATTAAAGGGCTTGAAATTTTTGATTTCTGTGAACCTAATATAAAAATTTTGAATAGTTGATGACCCATTGAGTGGTGATAAACCCTCGTGAAGGAAAAGTGAAAAAGGATTCTTTTTTAAGTAAGAAGCTTTTGATGTGAACCAATTGTTATGGATTGATCCTTTGTTGAGTAAGTAAGCTATCTCAAATCAACTTCAATATTCTAATTCTATTCACCACATCTCTATGAAACCATTGGTTATGACTTTTGGACTGTTTGGAAACTTGGCTTTCCCTATTTTTGGGTGATGTGATTTTTGGGATTGACTCTATATATTCCTAAAATAGTCAATTCTCTCTCTATATATAGGTTTATATAATCTCCTAATTAAAGCCATTGCAACCAAACTTGGTGCATGATACTATAGGATTCCAAAATGGAACCCTCTAGGTAGTTATAATTCGACAATTTCTTTTCCTTTTTTTTTTTAATTTTTGGCCAAAATTATTCCATTCTTATGTCAAGAATGATAAAATTGCTTATGGTTTTATTTGATTGAAGTGGTCCTCTTCCATTATCATTACATTACTAGGGTTGATCATCTATTTCTCAGTGAATAAAAATTCACAAAAAGTGATGTAATCATTCATCAGAAAGAAATAATTCTCCGTCCTATTTTGTTTTCATGATTTGACATATTAAGTCAATAAAAGTTATTTTACATTTTTTTACCCTTAACTTACTGAAGATATTAATAAAAGTTCTTATTTAATAAATGATCATAAAGATTATTATGAGAAAAATAATTATTTATATGTCTAAATTTAAAAACCTTACAAACATTTTGAGACATAAAAAAAAAAAAAAACAAGCAAACAAAATGCGATGGAGCCACTTTAATTTGTTTATGTCCTCATGCTTGATTTTAATATAAAGTTTTTTTTAAAAAAAAATATTAATTAAGATATATCAGCAATTAGCAAATTATAATAATTAATAAGCAATAGTGGAAATTTATAAATATAGAAAGTAATTGGATTTATTTTTTAATTGAATTCAGTACATTGGCAAGTTACTGAATAAAAATAAATAATGGTTTGAGTTCGGCATTTGAAAGCATTATTGATCCATAAGAAAGATACAAGTGTCGTTATCATATTTTATAGACCTTCAAAAGCTGCGTGTGAAAGAAAAGGTGCTACCAATTACTGTTCATAGCTTTTATTGCCAACTGGATGAAGTCATTCACTACCTAGAGGGCCAGGGCCCAACAATAACCGAATAATAAGAAGGCTCGAGTACATCAAAGTGCTTAGTAGGCCCAAAGTCAAATAATTTGGGCTTTCTATGGACTTGGAGTTGCATGTCCTCCGTTTCAAGATCACCAACACAATCCCAAGAAGCATAGGCCTGAGGGATGGCCACCGGTTTGGTTCGAACCTGAAATCGAACCATACTGTAGGACAATTGGATTTGGCGGTTTAAAATTTTAAATCGGAATCAGTAGTTTAAGGATCAATTAAGGTTCATGTGAATGTTAAAATATGAACCGAAACTGGCAGTTCTGATTCGGTTCGAACCAGAAATTTTCTATTTTTATTTTTAAAATGATAATCACTTAGCCTATTTTATACATCTCTAAAAGTCTCAATAATATTATACTTTTTTTATTTTTAAAATGATAAATCACTTAGCCATTTTATACATCTTTAAAGTCTCAATAATAATTATACTACATGATATACGTTACTTAACGATTTTTTTTTTAAAATACACTTTACTTAAAAGTTAAAAAATCTAAAGTAAAATGGTAAAAAAAAAGGGGAGAAATATTTAACTAAACTTATATTATTTTTATTTTTTTTTTACTCTTTTAAATTGTTTGGCTAAATGTTTAAAATTATATTATTTTGAAGCATTTTTCAAAATTTTCTTAATAATTATTTAATTAATAACATTTAAACAAAATAATTAATAACATTTAAACAAAATAAAGTGATAATTTATTTGATTATTTTGTAAAATTAATTAATTTTATTCCTATACGAGTATAAGCATTCTAAAATTTATTTAAAATAAAATTTATCAATATTTTTTAAACTCATATTAATATGTATGAAAGAAATATGTAATATTAAAATCGATTTTTTAAAAAAATATATATATATCGCCGGAAATCATTAATGAAACCGTCAATTCATCGGAACAGCACAGAAACCGAAATCCGACAGTTCAAAAGTGAATTTAAATTCAATATTTTAAAATTTTGAACGCCCGAGTAGCTGTCCGAAAATGCTATTACAATTTCTTGAGACATTATTATGCGGGTGTTAAATGATTGCAGGATAATATCTTCAGGAGAGAACAAAAAATCTCAAATTTCGAAGCATAATTGATGTAATTAGACTATAGCTCTGATTTTTCTTTTCTTCATAATGTTTTTATCTTTTTGAGATGCATTCACCGTCTTTATGATTTTGGGCCCTCTCCAATAATCATCCACTTTGCTTTACATTTTTTTATAAGCAGAAGCTTTAGATTTTCAGGTTTTATGGAGTTATAAATTGAGTTTTTATTTTATTTTTTGTTAATTATTATTTTTATTATTTGCTCAATTTTGTGTTGTAAAATTAGTTAGGAGATTTTTTTTTTTTTAAAATTAGAACAAGATTCATGTATTAGGATCATAAATTATTCAAAAATTTCATTTAAAATCTCTCAAATAAAAAAAAAAAAAATGTAGCTCTATACACATGGAATGATTATCATAATGATCTAGATCTTTACGTGGTATAGTTTGAGATCCTCGTTATGTTTTGACCTAAATAGAAAATGTTGCTATCAATTCAAGCTTTATCTTATGCTTATAAAAGCTTTATAAAAAGCAATATGGAGCCTCATAAAGCAATCATCGGTATTTCCTTCGTAGGGGGGCAACATATTAATCAACCACCACCCCTTAATTATTACTAAGATATCTATATCTATCTATTTATACAAATATTTGAGTCATAAAAGTTTATGTTGCATCATTTTAGAGTATTTAAATACTTATGTGGTAATGTTAATATATTGAATTCAAAATAATTTTTATATTTTTTAAAAAATATTTTTAATATAAAAATATTTTTAATTATAATTAATAGAGAATTTAATTAATATATTTAATAATATTTCCTAGTTTTTAATAATTAATAAAATTAAATGAATATCATTAATATTTTAAAAACTTTTCAACTTCCTTTTACAAATAAATTCAGCAATGTCATTATATTTTTTTTAATATAATTAATAGAGAATTTAATTAATATATTTAATAATATTTCTAGTTTTTAAATAATTAATAAAATTAATAATATCATTAATATTTTAAAAACTTTTCACTTCCTTTTTACAAATAATTAGCAATGTCATTAATATTTTTTTTGAAAAATTATTTAAATTAAAGCAACATAAATATAAATTAAAATAATTTTTTTAAAAATTACATTTAATTTAATTTAAAAAATATAATATTATACAATCCATGCATCACACAGGTTCAGAACTAATTCAAAATAATATGAAATTTATTTAATTAATCTAAAATTTCATCATATACATATAATAGAGATTATGCATGCATGCATGTATCATGTGTGAGTTCAATATGTGATGATCAATGGCTAATACATAAATTTCTTCACGTTTCGTTAAAATAAAATATCTTTATACACTTATGATTTTATCCTTTTACATTTTATCTTGACAAAATAATAATTTTTATTAAAATGTAAAATTATAATATTATTATAAAATTTTTAAAATTTAGGTAATTATAAAAGCAATTATAATGATAATCGCTAAAAATATAAAGATAAATTTATACATTCCGCGGATGATAAGGACAATAAAGCGATTGCACAAGCAAACAAAAAATTATTTATCGTAAACCTCAAGAGGATGAGGGCTTATGTGTAGTGCAAGAATTAATGTAAATGGAAGGTACAGAAATACTCTGCAAATTGCACCAGCATAACTTTATCGTACCATTTTCTCTTTACCAAAAGCTAAAGAACCCTAATACCATTTTTCTCTTTCGGTCAATAATTACTTTCCCAGTACCCTTTTCACAAAAGTACATCAAGACTCTCATCTTTGAAAGAATTGAGAGAGAGCCCAAATCCATAACCCTAACATCAAATTAAAAGCTTGTCAATTTAAACCATATAAGTAAGCATTTGTAGACCAAAGTTGAAAGATAAGCAAGAGAACTCATATTACATACTCTACCATGTCTTCCCTCTCAGGAAACGGAATCAATGTCAACATAAGATTGAAGCTTCTTATAGACAAGAATTCAAACAAGGTATTATGTGGAGAGGCAGGTAAAGATTTTGTAGACTTCTTGTTTGGGCTTCTGCAATTTCCATTGGGTTGCATAGTTGGTCTTCTTCAAGAAAATAAAGCTCTTGTATCAGTTGCCTTTTCCAATATCCTCCAAAGTGTTCAAAACCTAGAAGATAGCTTTTTCCCATCTCCTACAGTTAAACAATCTCTATTGGAGCCTGGAGTGGATTCTTCTCAACTTGACTTTCATCTCCTTTTCCCAAAGTTTAAACCTTTATACCATTCATCGCAATACTTTGGGAGTCCCAGTCAAAATCCAACGAAGGGGTATATTAAAGAAGATAACGCCAAGTATATGGTGATGGATAGTTTGAATATTACTCCATGGTCTGATATTTCTCTTCTTACTCTTATTAATAAGTTTAATATCAGAGAGTTTAGCTCTGTTGAAGAGAAAAATGTCGTCGTTAATTTCAACAAGGTAATTAACATTCTTCTATTTAACGACTTCTCTTATATGTTGTATATAATTGGTGACGTTCTTTGTGCATTTTGTAGAGCTTGGAGTTATTGAAGGCATCGTTGGAGTCAGAAACAGTTCTGACTGATGTGTTCCTTAGGGAAGAATGATGCTCCATTTGTGAAATGAAATAAATAGTCAAAAGATGTTTAGGTATAAGTTCATCCTCGTACGTGTAATATGTGATGATATATGTATGTGTGTGTGTGCGTGTGCGTGTGTGTGTAATGTATTTTTGGTTTGAATGCTCTTGTAGCTTTGCGAGTTTATACATAAATTAATCAAGTCATTTCCTTATAATCTTCTGGGTACATATTTCTTTTCAATAATTATGATTTAAATTTTTTTTTTAAAAAAATCATTAAATTAAATGGATCGTCATTTCTAAAGTCCAATTTGTTAGACTTGTTTACGTGCATTAAAAAAAAAAAAAAACAATTCTTTTACTTTCAGATTCTTGTTGGAGACCAATTTTAGCATATGGTTACAAGCATGAGTTGAGTTCATTAATTCAAGACTTCTAGTATTGATAAGTTAATATATCTAAAAATATTCTAAAATTATTGTAACAGGTTTCAGAAATTCATTATAAACACATAATCCAGAATCCAAGTAGAACCTAAAGTACACATTATTAAAAACTTAAAAACCGATAATCCAATATCCCTTGCTTCTAGGGTTGTAAATGAGATGAGATCAAGAGGTGCTTGAGGCTTTACTCAATAAAAGCTCGCTCGAACTCGTTTTCGTTTGATAAACTTATCAAGCTAAGTTCGTTCGAGCTCGTTCCATGAGCTTACCAAACTGAGGTCATTAACTCGCGAGCCAGCTTTATAGTGCCAAGCCGAGCTCACGAGTTAGTTCAATAAGTTAAAATTAATTAAATCTATATTAAATTGATGTTGTTTTGGTTAAAGTCATACATGGTTAGATAATAATCAATGCACATAAAGTTGCAGGCATAGCAACTCTCATCTCAAACTACAGTTGGAAATACAGAAACAGGAATATAATATTTCAAGTCCAATTCAACCATACATAGTTTATTAGAGAAGGGATTCTTTATTTTAAAGATGCACTGCAATTCATTTTCTTTTCATATCTTTTCATATGAAAAAGTAGAGATACAGTGTTTATATAAGATTTTTAATCTGTTCATAGAGAATTAAATTGGTATTAAAACATAAAAGTATTTTCTTTTTCCACACCAAGCAAATATCTATTTTGGTTTAACAATGTCAAGCTGTCAAGAAATAGAATTCCTCTAAGAATTCTCTATTATTCCTATACAGGTGTCCTTTTACATGAACCTAATTAATTTAAACAGAAGGAGGTTAGCTTAATAAATATGCTTTTTTAGCTGAGTTAAAAAAGTACCAGTGGTAACTAATTTAGCTGAAATGTATCTTCCATTCACCAACTACAGGCCCCTTTGTCACAAAAAACAAAGATTTTGGATATGCACACAAGTGAAAAAAGTGAAACTACCATGAAATGTTGCAGAGCAAAACATGTGCAAGTGCTATCAGTCTCCAACTGCAAAAAACTCCTTTACATTTTGAAGAATACCTTTATCGTATGGATTCATAAACTGCATTTGAGCAAAGCTTCCGCCTGCTTTGGCCAAAAATACCAAGATTTCGTTTGTGACATTGATGCTATAGATAATTAGCAACAAAAAATACGGTGGAATATATTTACCTGATTGGGACTGAATAATAACTTGGAACTCTGAGTATTTCTTCCAGTTTATCTGGAGAAAAAGAGTGTGTTGCTTAGAAAATTCGATATTGCAAACTCAATCTGCATGTTTATAGAAGATGACATTTTTCCTCACTCTTAATGAAACCTGAGGCATGGATTGACCAGTTGTTCAATAGAGTATGTTCAAATTATATGCATATAATAAAATACTCTTCTATTCTCTCACATGAATACTCACATACATTTGGCACTCCCTCTTAATCCAATTATCACTTAGGAACTTACCCACTCATCAGTCCTGATGTTAAAGCATATGCAATATATATGCCACGCCATAAAAACAGCCTAGTCACAGAACAGATCAATATTAGATACTCTGGCTCTGAAGAAAATTGTAGAAATTGGACATTAAGCGAACACAAACAAGCCCTGCCACAGTACTTGGAGAAGGGTAAAAAGCATTGTGCTAATAACCAAACTTCCACCTAGACCATTCTACAAAAAATAATATACAGTAATTAAGGGGGAAAAAAAGAATGGCAGAGAGATAGAGAGTATCACTTGTACTGTAGAAGCACAAGATATTAATAAAAAAAGTTAGTTTATAGCACAGAATCGCCTACCTCAAACCTAGTTCCGTCAAAGATATGGGAATCTCTTGCAACTGGAAAAAACACATGAACACGAGATTTAGTTCTGTGGAATGTGGGATGTTCAATGAGTACTCAACCATAAGGAAATTTAAATGCATAAAGTCTACTTCGTGCATCATTCAAAATCTATAATACCAGAAACAAGAAAACCAAGATGTATCCTTCAAAATCTAGAGTCACATTGTAAAGAAATTCTAACTATTAATTAACATAGCCTGGAATATTGCTGTCTACATCAAACAAAGAAAGATCAACAACAGCTAGATTGAGAAAGGAAAACACATGAGAGGCAGGTTAAGCTTACACTGAAATGAACACAAAATGTAAGAAGCCTCAGTACTGAGAAATCCAAGTAGAAGAACCATGAAGAGAATATGGTTATTCTGTCCTGCACAATGCGGATATCTTAAGTATGTGAAATGGCCATTTACAAATGAAACCTGTTGGATTTGATCAATCTCAAATAGGGAATTCTAACATAATAGTCACCTATACAGTTCCCAAAAGCAGGACAATGGTGGTCAAAACCCTTTATATATGCCTTGCAGATCTTACAATATCTAACCCGCTTCAACTGGAAAGAATCCTGCGAAACAATAAAACATTAATGACTAATCATATTACGAAGAAAGCAAAGCAAGCAAATGAAAATATACAAGTTTAAAAAGTGGGGAATAAAGAGGATAGAAATTGCTAATGGCTTGAGGAGAAGGTGAGGAAAAGAGCCAGAGATCATAGCAGACCATGAATAATACAGATATCAGCCGCATGACAGCACATGAAATTTAAACTCAAGTGAACATTAAGCTGGCAATTTGCATGCAACGATTGCGAAGCACACAAATTCTAAAGCCAAAAGAAGGGACCCCTATGCTTAGGTTGAAGTGTTAAGCATTCGTTGTTGTTAACAGAAAAACTTAGCTGCTAATTCATAATACCAACAAGATAGAAACAAAAGAAGTTTAAAATTGTATGTAGCTAACATGCATTCAGATCAAAAGCATAGTGTTAGCTTAGCTTTGAGTAAATTACATTTAAACATACAAAACTATTAACACTTCAAAGGGTAAAAAAAATAATAATAATAATTGAAGCCGAAAAGCCTTGACTAATTAGCTCAATTCAAACCCACTACCTCGTTACGAGCTTCAACTTCAAGGGCTTTCATTTCATCACAATTATCTGAATAGGAAGATCCATAACTTACAAAACCAGGATCACTTGATAAGATACTGCCAGCAGGAACATTTTGCTTATTAATATATAGATGACAACAAAGCAACAACATCCTTTTTTCTCAATGCCCAACCGAACAATGGGAGAGATTAAACTACCTACATAAACCAATGAACAGCATGACAACCTCTCCACTGAACACAGCACTAATTAGATGTGGAATGGCTGCAGAACAGGTAAGAGTGTGAAAGTCATTAACACACAATAATGACTTGGAATTCTAAGTTTCTAAATTTCTAAATTTATGTAACCAGTCATGCTTGAGTAAAATTTATAACAAAATAAATACAGTATGCAAATGAACTCCAAACTTAACAGAGTACAAGCTAATAAAGCCAGATATTCAAAACTGAATTCTATATTTAATCCAAACATGGATATTCATTTGCAAATTTTTTAAGACGACATTCAATTTCAAATGAAATGAGTTCCATGTTAATATAGAAAGCAATCCCAAATTTGAATAATTTAGACAAGAAACAAAATATTATGAGCTATGGAGAATGTAAATACCTCGTCGAATGACAACCCAATAAAGGCCCCAAACGAAGAGAATATTGAAGAAGACGAAAGCTGGAGCTGATGCATAGACTCCAAGAATCAGCCTAAACCATCTCCCAAACACCAAAACTAGCAGCAAAACCACAACTGTATAATACAAAACACTTTATAGCAAATTCCAAAAAACTTGACGGACAAAAATTGAAAAACCAAAGAATGGAGATAATTGAGGAACCTGAAAGAGCGAGTTGGAGGAGCAGGGGGGAAGTAGAGAAGCAGCGAGGGACAAGAGACAGTGTAAATTGAGTAAGCAATACTAACAACAAAGAAACTGTACAGCGACAGATTAAAGTTAAAAATGGCTCCTTGTTGTTCTTCTGATCTTGGAACTGTTGCATTTTCCTGCGCCAAAAACTGCTTCCAGAGCTCTGAATTTGATTCTTGATTTATTTTTCCGCTGACTTTGATGATTCTCTTTCTCCTCTCTTTCTTTATTTCTTTCCCTTTGCTTGTTCTTCTACTTCAGCCCATTTGAGCCCAATAGACTGGAGCTCTAAATCATCAAGAAGCCTCTTTGAAGCCCATGTCAATATATGTGATTCTTTTGGTTTTAGCCTTTTAGGGGTCCCAAAATAACAATAATTATTATTATCTACTGTTTCAAAACTAGTACTCCCTCTCTTATTCTCAAAAATTTTTTAATTTTGGGAGTTGCGGCTTATCATAATTGGCATTTTCTCTAACTGTTTGGTTAGCCTTGCATGTGTAAATTTTTAAGAATTTTATTTTGTTTTTTATTTTTAAAATAACTAAATACAAATTATTTATTACCTAAAAATTTATAATTAAAAGCATATGTCCAAATATAAAAATATCAAGAGAAAATAAAATTATTTGTATACAAAACGAGTAAATAAAATCTTATAATAATAATAATAATAATAATTTATCTCATCCCTAGGATTTTCCACGTTGTTCTAGTTGATTGAGCAACAGAACAAACAAAATTTTTGCATTTGGGATAAATACAAATAATCAATTATTGGATTAATGATAAGGAATAAACTTTGATTTGGAAAACTTATATCTTAAGAATATTATTGGTTGCTTGTCTTGAAAAGGCAATAATAATGCACCAATAAAATATTTGAAAAATTCCATTAATTAGAGGGCTGCGCAGTTGATTGTTTTGAAAAAAGAAAAATCAATAAAAAAAAAAAAAAAAAAATCAGATTGAATTGTGGAAATTTGGCCGATAGTTGTGTGTGTTTATTGTCAAATTTGAAAATGAAGTGAAAGGTGATGTAGGAATAGGATGCAGACAATTTGATAAAATATAAAGAAAAAGCTGAGTCAGATATTCAAATAAAGACAAGTATACAACAAGAAACAAAAAAACATTGCCACGACTGACTGTGTCATTTAAGCTATACATATTCTATTTGACTTTGTTGGAATGCAGAGTCACCTGGAAAATTTCAATCCTATACTTAGCCTCTGTTCCAAATAGACGATTTCTTCTCATTTCTCAATTTCACATTTTCCTTTTTCTGAGTTATCAACTTTTCCGACCTTTTATTACTTCTTATCTCAAGAATTTTTTTTATACTCTTCGATATTTTATTTGCTTGTTTTTTTATGTATTTCAATATCAGATTTTTTATTTAACTCTCTCCGGTTAAGTTGGGTGTTTTGGAAAATCTATTAGTTTGAAATTAGACTCCGAAGTTTGTTAAATTTTTTCTTGATTTTATTAATAATAATAATAATAAAATATTTATTTTCTGTTCCAAAAAAAAAAAAAAAAAATTTTCCAAAAAAAAAACTCTTTCCAACCTTTTACATTTAAGTTTTGGGCAGTGAAACAAATAAATCAACGGCACTTCGTCAACTATTCAAAACTATGATTGTCAAGTAGAGTATATAATGAAATTCAAAAAAAAAAAAAAAACTTTTCCAACCTTTTACATTTAAGTTTTGGGCAGTGAAGCAAATAAATCAAGCACTTCGTCAACTATTCAAAACTTGATTCAATAAAAATCGACTCAAGTCGTGTTATCAAATTTATTTAATAAACAAGTAGAGATCTTTAGCACGCAAGTCAACTTTATCGAACAAATTTGTGAGCTAATTTGATAAACTAAAGTTTAATTAAATTTATATCAAAACAATGTTGTTCTTTAAATTGATTAATGTGTTCTTACTAATTTAATATATCTCGAACTTGAACTTGAGTTAGGTTCATTTATGATCATTGAGCTAATCTAACTCACCAAATTTGAGTTTGGAATAGCTTCGTTCTTTACAACCTAGTTTTGAGGTTTATAATAGTTTTCTAATAGTTTTTTTTATTAATCTAAATGAATTCTGAAGTAAAAATAATTTTAAAAATAGATCAAATTATTTTTTATTTAAAAATAATTGGTAATATTAAGATCTAACGAGACTATAACTATAAGAATATTTATAAAATTTGATTACAAGTTCAATTTAATTAAATTAAGTTCTATAAAATTAAATTTAGAATGCTTTCAAATTATTTATTTTTAAATTGAATTTCACCTTTGTCAAGTACATTAACTTTTGAATGTGAGAATTGATAAAATAAAATCAATTAAATTGAATTTTTATAAAATGTGTGTTTTTAAACAAGTCTTAAAATTTTTTTTATTATTTAAAATTCATGATGTTATTAAAATCAGATTGATTCATGGCTCTAGATAAATTTAGTTTCATTAAATAAAAAAAAAACTAATCAAATATTATTCTTAAGAGTTAAAATCAATTTTTTTTTATAGAATTAAAATGTATTTCTCTATCTCTTCAGCAGAAACTAATCCATTTTGGAGCTATAATTTATAAATATTTTTAATCCTCTCAATAAGTACATGTAGGAATTAAATCTGTCTAATAACGTAAATTATAAAATATGTGATTAAAGTCATTTATCATCTCGACCAATATATTATTATTAGAATTAAAATCAAGTTAAATCTGACTAAATTGATTTTAATATGACTCAATGAGGAAGAAAATATTAATATTTTTCAAAAATTGTAATTGTAAACTTTTAAAATAAATTACTTTATCTAATTTTTAAAATTAATTACAATTATATTTATTTAATCAAAATTAAAATAAAAATAACTTATTAAAATTAAACTTATTTTTTTTATTTCTCATCACCAAAAATTCAATCATAGCATTTTGATTTAAATGATTTGACTCAAAATAATTAAATCAATGTTTATTTAGTGAAGATACTCAAAAAACGAAGACAAATTTAGTGAAAATAATTAATATTTTATTAATTTTATAAATGAAAAAAAAGTGTAGAAATAAATTTATAATTGTAATGTTTTGTTTTTAACTTTTGATGTGTGCTCACGTGCAATACAATTATCGTCAACAAACAAGTGAAATTGTTAGTTAAACTCACCTGCGGGTGACGCAATGGATTCTCGCAAATTGAGCAAACAATGTCGTCTGTTACGCTAAACGCCGAAACTTGAACGAGAGTGACAAAAGGAGCAACCTGAACTGTTCTTGCGGCGGGTCACATGCACCTGCATCATCCGCTGTGATTGTCTTAGGTCCCACAAATAATACGGGACCACAACATCCGACGGTGGATTTAATATACAGCAAGACTTTCTAGTTTCTATTAACTTGGGATGGCAATTTCAATTCAGCTGGATGCATTTAACATGCTTTTTTTCAAAGATGGAACATGCCATTTTCCTAACCCAAGCTGCATGTTCATTTCATATTTTACGGGTAAATTATTATTTAATATTTTTAATTTGATAATTACTTTCAAAAAATCTTTTTAATTTGATAAATAACTATTTAGTCTCTATCTTTTAAAAATATATTAAAGTGTCCTTATAGTTTATTGATTGAAAAGTCATTTCTTTGAAAATATATAATATTTGCTGTTACTTTTAAATAAAAAGACTAAAATATCCTCTTTTTTTTTTTTGGTTATTTCAAATGTACTTCTTGATATGAATTCTTTTTTAATAGTATGATCATTCTCAACAAAAAAAAATAATAATATGAATAATTGATTCATATTATTAAAAACTAATATTATAAAACAAATATTCATATTATTAACAAATTTAATTTTTCGTTTAGCACGAAAAAATATTTATATTGTATCTACTATAAATATATTTATATTATAAATCTAGTTAATTTGAAAGTTTATTTTTTGGATGTACAAAATTCTTTGGCTTTTTTACGTCCTTTAGTTTATTAACTTAAAAAAAGTAGGATTGAGCATACTTCGGTTAAATCGCTGAATCAAATAAATTCAATTCACTTGATTTTTATATTAAATTAATTTGATACCTAATATATTGTCTTTATAAAAGTTTTAATATCAAAATATTGGAATAAGGTAGCCTATCATCTATGATTCTCAAATTAAAAGATATGCTTAGAAGAGAGTATACAAATATAAAATTATATTATTTATGTATAAATAATGTTTTTACCTAAACCATCTCCCTTTCTTTTACAAAACATTACAATGCTAATACAAATATATAGTGGTAACCTCAACTATTTCCATTTAATAATTAACACAAACCTATCAATATATTTAATTACATATAATCATAATCTATTTATATACTAAAATATTATCACATATTTATCATTTTTTTAATAAATATTATTTTAATTTATACTATCTTCATCATAGTTATTAAAATCACTTGTTTACCAATAAAATATTGGTTGACTTGGTTAATGACCTCAATGCCCGTAAAGATGACAAAAGAAGTTCGATCACCGAAAAATAAATTTTGCTGAGAGAATAAAACTTCTTTTGTCATCTTAATTATATATATATATAAAAAATGACAAAGGAAATTAAACTTCTTAATTATATATAGATCACCGGAAACATAATTTTCTGAGAGAATAAAACTTCTTTTGTTCATCTTAATTTATATATATATATAAAAAAAATGACAAAGAAATAAACTTCTTAATTATATATATATATAGTATATATATATATAGTATACTATATATATATATATATATAATATATTATATATAAATCACTTGTTTTGACCTAACCTTAGAAAAAGTGGAACAAAATCGAATCATAACTAGGATCATAAATCACTTGTTTGACCTAAACCTAGAAAAGTGAGAACAAAATCGAATCATAAACTAGGATCATAAAATCATGAGATTTTACATATAATGAAAAATAATATTTAAAAAAAAATAATAATTTAAACATAAAAGTTATGTTTAATGAAAATAAAAATAATATTACAATATCAGGAAAATCGTAAACGTGTGAAATTGTAAAATCTTGCATATTATAACTTTTTATCACATGCTTAAACATATACATAAATCCCTTTAAAAAAAAAGTGTATATATATATATAATCACATATTTATCACATGCTTAATGTATAATATTTTAATTTATACTCCCAACACCATGTATGGTAAA